CACTATACAAAAAATATACAAAATAGAATTTGTATATTTATACAAACAAAAAAAAGACTGTCACTATTGTATATACAATTTGCATACAATAGACTATTATGGATGCCACCATATAGATGTCAATATACAAAATAGATGTCAATATACAAAATATATACAAAAAGGTTGTCACTATACAAAATAGGTTGTCACTATACAATTTATATACAATAGAATGTCACTATAAAAAAAATATATAAAATAAACTGTGACTATACAAAAAATATACAAAGTAGATGTCACTATACAAAAAATATACAAAATAGAATTTGTATATTTATACAAAAAAAATCGTCACTATTGTATATATAATTTACATACAATAGACTATGACTATAGAAAAAATATACAAAATAGATGTCACTATACAAAATATATACAAAAACAACTATGACTATACAAAACAGATGTCACTATAAAAATATATACAAAAAAGACTGTTACTATACAAAAACTATACAAAATAGACTCTCGCTATATAGTTTAGCATCCCCCAAAACTTCATTCATAAAACTTCCTATAAAAAACTTAGCAACACCAGCTAAATTTGCAAAACGTGTCGAAACAGATTAAAACTGTATACATTACAAAACCAAAAGTGTAGAAAAGTCAAAACTACACAAAATCTGAAACTTTCAAAATTTCACTATTAACTCAAAAACAAACAAGTTGAAATTAAAAGTAATATTCAACATTAGCATTTCAAACATCTTTCCCTTCAACTTGCCCTTTTTCTTGATATCCTTCAAAGTTTCGTCATCACCAACAGCATGCGTCTTGCCCTTTTTCTTGTTATCCTTCAAAGCCTTGTCATCACTAACGGCATGCGACTTGCCCTTTTTCTTGTTATCCTTTTCTGTCAGATCCTTCAATCTACCAGTAGACACGTCATCACTAACAGCATGTGCTCTTTATTTCTTTACTCCATAATCTCATAGCAATATACCATATCGGTTCCGTATCCCATCAATATCAATAGCTTTAGGAATATTGTTGCCTTGAATGATGTATTCAGCAAATGCAGCAACATAAATACCACAGTCACTACATACAAGGTCACGCATAAATGCTAAATAAGTTAGTATGATATCGAAATAGGAATTCATGTACAAAAATAAATTAAGAATCAGAAATATTCAATAATAATTTACCTGTTATCTTGCGTTGGCAGCCCATCAACGACATGAATCTCAAAATGATCAGTGGTAGGAATTCCCATATGATTCTCCTTTATGTTCCCAAAACCAATACGATGAAGGAAATATGGGAGCAACACTGAGTATAGCTCAATTGAACTCTGAACTGTATTATTTTATCGCGCGCCACTCATGGACGTATGCATAAATGTGCAGTTGAATGACAGTCTCGCTAATATCCAATGCCACTTATCAGACAGATTTATAGGGAAAAGAACTTCATCAAGAGTACACCAAGGAATATTACATCTTAAAAAATACCCAAGTATATACTCAATAGTTGGATTTATTTTAGTAATCAAATTCATGTCTCTGTTTTCTCCAGAAACTCCTTGTACAAATTTGAAATCAAGCAGTTAAACCAACAGTCAGTAGTTGTAAATCTTACTGGAACATCAACACCGTAATTACTTTTCTTTCTCAAATAGTAAAAAATAACATCAATATGCTGAAATATGAAGAATAAACACACATAGTCAGAAAATTACATTATGAGATAACTACAATGTATATTTTATGTATAAATCAGTTATACATTTTACAGAAGATACTCTTCCAAGTTGATAGTATGTTTTATATTGCCATTATTGTTCTAGTCCTTCTTTTGCCTACTATCCAAGGGTTGCCGAGTCCCGTTTCTTATTTTATTACAGATAGAATCTATATGTAATTACAACATGGATAAAAGAAAAGAAATGGCATTTATTCTAATCAATTAACATCAATATGCTGAAAATATGAAGAACCATTATAGTGTTGACTTACTGAATCACACAGGGGTAGGCCGGGATATGCAAATGTGAAGAATTATTTTTTTCTCCATTATCATCAACTCCAAATTCAAAGATTTTATTTAGCTTATTGTTAATCTCTGTATAAACACCGCCCCTGATGAATCACGATAAAAAGATATGGTTCATAACACAAAACACGAAAAATAAACAAGGAAAAAAAGAAAAAGAAAAAATCGAAACATAATATACGGTGCATTAGTCCTTAAGCCTCTGTTGATGAAAGTGTTCTACTTACACAATATTCTGAAATCAACAGGATTGTCAATATTTTCCTGAAAATGATAATTTATAGTGAAGATGGACTTATTTGGCTTATTTGTCAAGATGGGCTTCTTTGACTTAGTTGGCCTATTTTGAGCAACTTGGATGGTGCCACCAGAGTCAAATATGTTCTTGCATGGTGACTTCATGACCCATGCTGGTTTCCTTTCTCTAGAGATCATTTCAGGTGTGTCATGATCAACAACAACTATATGATCTTCCTGCATAGTAGCAATATTTTTCTCCACTCCTAAACAATCACCATGTACAATATTTTGATCGAATTACTTCTGGGTGATTGCAATTATTTGAGCCTCAGAATCATTAGTACACCCATTGTCCTTACCAACTTCCTCACAACTATTTTTACCAACAACTTGTACAAAATCCTCCACCAAACCTCCCATATTAGCAGTATTTTTCTTAACTTCTGCAATATTAAATACACTATCACCATCTACATCATTTTTGTCACAAAACTTCTGGGTG